TTAATTGCTGAGATTTTCCAAGGGAGGTTGTGCAGTGATTATGAAGCATGGAATTTCCATCAGGTAGGGGGTGACGAAGCCTCACCGAACAGTGCAATTAAGTGCAATTATTTTTCGTCTGCCTCCTGGCAAGCTTCTCTTTTGATGCTGGGCAAATTTTTGCAAAAATTAAAAGAACTCAGCATCTTTGACAAATGAACAGAACAATGCCAGGGAGGCCTCAGAGTTTTTTTAATGCACTTTTTTTTTCCTTTTTAATTTCTTCTTCTTCTTTTGTTTCAAGGATCACATCGTGGTAGGAAGCTTCCATTTTAACTCCCCTCTCCCCAGTTTGCTTACAATGAAAGAATCTTTCGCAGGGCATTTCTGTAAGCGCTCTGGCTTCTTTCATTCCTTCATGCCCCGCCCTTCTCCCCAATGGCGATGTGAAGTGGCTTACATCATCCCTCTCGCCTCCATTTGTAGGTTGATCAGTCTCCAGGCGGTGGCTGGAGATCTCCTGACATTGCAACTGGCCTCCGGACGACAGAGATCAGTTCCCCTGGAGAAAATGGAAACTTGAGAGGTTGGACTCTCTGGCATTATAGCACGCTAAGGTTCCTCCCCTCCGTACACCCCACTCTCCCCACGCCCCACCCCCAAAATCTCCAGGAATTTCCAAACCCAGACCTGGCAACCCTATCTAACCTCACAACAACCCTGTGAGGTAGGTTAGGGTTCAAACAGTGTGCCTGGCCCAAGGTCCCCCGGCGAGCTTCCGTGGCATGATTGGAAATTTGAACCTGGCTCTTCCAGGTCCTAGTCCGACACTTTCAACCACCGTACTAGGGGTGTGCATTCAATATAAAAAAGGTAAAGGTAAAGGTTCACTTGCTCGAAAGCCAGTCGAATCCGCCTCTAGGGTTGCGGTGCTCATCTCCGTTTCACAGCCAAAGAGCCAGCGCTGTCCAAAGACGTTTCCGTGGTCACGTGGCCGGCATGACTAAACACCAAGGCGCATGGAACGCTGTTACCTTCCCACTGAAGTGGTACCTATTTATCTACTTGCAATTTCTTGCTTTCGAACTGCTAGGTTGGCAGGAGCTAGAACTAGAGACAGGAGCTCACTCCGTCGTGCGGCACCCGGGTGTCGAACTGCTGAACTACCGACCTTCCACAGCTTGCAGTTCAGCGTCTTAACTACTTGAGCCACCACAGCTCCTCGCATTCAATATAAACCAAGCCAAAAAACCCCAAGATATATGACTGGTATTTTTCAGGTACTTTTAAAGCCAGTTACTGAATGGGGCTCAATTTTGCCTATGCGAAATGGCCAAGCCCCGAAAATATTCAGGATTTTGGGGTGCTGGATAGCTGAATTTAAAGGGCATTTAAAGGGATTGCGGTCCCTTTAAATACCTTCTCCAAGCTGTGCAACTCCACAGCAAGTTTCCCCGGAAAGTGTTTAAGCCAAGGGCTTGCAGTCCCTTTAAATGCTTCTGGCTCAACTCACTGCTTGGAGAAGATGTTTAAATGAACTGCAAGCCCTTTAAATGTCTTTGGACCCTTGCCGTGGAGTTGTGCAGCTTGGAGAAGGCATTTAAAGGGACTGTGGTCCCTTTAATCACCTTCCCCTCTTCCATTGGTTTCAATGGAGGATGGGGGCACTTTCTTTGGGGGCCCATGGAATTGGATCCCCTGGTCTGGGGGAGTTTGAAGAGAGGCACCAGCAGTTATACTGCAATTTTGGTGTCCCTGCCTCAAAAAACAGGCTCCCCAGAGCCCCAGATACCCCCGGATCAATTCTCCATTATAGCCTATGGGGCGCATTGACTATAATGGTCCCTATAGGGTATTTACCGAATCGGAATACCATACCGGTACTGGGATTCAGGAATATCGGGAAATACCAATATTTTTTGGGTTCAATATACCCGAACCTGAAAAATATCGTGGGTTTTGTGTGTGTTTTTGCACACCTCTACACTATACCACGCTGGTGTAGTGGTTAAATGTGCAGAGTCTAATCTGGGAGAACCGGGTTTGATTCCCCACTTGCACCTGCTGATGTGACCTTGGGTCAGTCACAAGCTCTGGCACAGCTGTCCTTGACAAAGAGCAGTTTGTGTCAGAGTTCCCTCAGCCCCACCCACCTCACAGGGTGTCTGTTGTGGGGAGGGGAAGGGAAAGGAGTTTGTAAGCCGCTCTGAGACTCCAAGTGAAGGGCGGGGTATAAATCCAATCTCTTCTTCGTCTCTCTCTTCTTCTCTTCTTGCGGTGGGTTTGGTGGCTACCCCTCTACTGGCCGTGGGTAGGACACGTGCTGTGTTCTTACCCTGAATTCTCAATGTGACTTCCGCACAGGGTTATCTGTCCCAGTCTTAATGCTTTTGTGAAGCGTTTTCTCCCCTGCTTCCCCCTAGAAAACCAGTGGTCATTCTCACCCATTCAGGTCATTCTAATCTTATCTCTAGTTGGCTTTTGGGAAGAAAAGTTCTTCTCCACCCCTGCTGCTTTACCTGCAGCTGCACCAGCAAAGGGAAAGCCACAAAATCCCATCCCTCTGCGGAAGACACCTTAGTCTGCACCAAACCACTGGCTGTTCCAGCCCGTTCCAGTGGGCACTATTAGAACCACCAAGCCATACTTCCTTTCCCCACATAGGAAACAAACCTAATCCAGTCTTGTCTGTTCTGGTCGGCAGTGGCCATCTGGGGTTTCAGGCCCAGAAAGTCCTTCCCACACACCGCATACCTGCTGTCCAGGATACATCAACTGGAATTGAGCCCAGGGGAGTTCCCAAATTCCAGGGGTCATTCCGTAGAAAAAGAGGTGCAGGAGCTTTAGCATAACTCATTAGCATAACTTATTTGCATATGCCACACCCCCTGACATCACCAGAAGTGTGTCAGAAGGCAACACCCACCGCTCAGGCTCCACTGGACTGTTTTGGATTGCTAGCTATTGGGGGGGGGGGGATGTGAAGATCTGCCCTCGCAGAGGAGGGAGAGCTTGTACCTGAATAAAACTTGGACTTAAAGGTGCCATTGTGCTGTTTTGGACGGGGGGGCTCGGGGGGGCTTTGCAGTTTACCTGGCTGCTTCTTGCTCTGACTGAGGGCTGCTGGGAGCAGGGGGCAGGGCTTGTTGCATGTGCCCGCCCCCTGGGCTCTTTACTGCCGGAGCTCTGCTCCTGTGCACTCCTGCAGGAAATGACCCCTGCCGAATTCTATCCAGAATTTGTCTCTGCATGTTGGAATTATGAATTACCTGGTCTTTTTTCTAAAGCGCAACTGGACCTTTGTTGTTCCTTTAAAAAAAATAATTCTAGATGTAGTATGTTCTGATTTGTTCAGCCCAAGCTAGTCAGATCTCGTAAGCTGAGCAGGATCGGCCCTGGTTAGTAATTGAATGGGAAACCCCCAATGAAGTCCGGGTTTGCTGTGCAGAAGCAGGCAATGGCCAACCGCCTTGGTTTGTCTCTTCCCTGGGAGGCACCACAAGTCAGCTGGGACTTGACATGTGCATGTGCAGACAGACGCCTTCAGTTCCTGTGCACCTTTTCCTCTCTACAACACTGAAGCGCAGGGCTATTTTTGGGCAGGAACGCACAGGAATGGAGTTCCGGCTGGCGCCCAAGTTGGCCACACCCAGCAGGAACTCATTAGCATAACAGGCCACACCCAACAGCAGGAACTCATTAGGATTGGCTACATTAGGGGTGTGTGGCCTAACATGCAAAGGAGTTCCTGCTCCAAAAAAAGCCCTGGGTTTTGACCACAAACAAGGTAAACAGAATAAGAAGCGAAAGGTGGTGTGGTTGGATGACCACACTTCTGGTAACACAGGGGTGTGGCCTAATATGTTAATGAGCTGTGCTGTCATGGGTGTGACCTAATATGCTAATGAGTTCCTGCTGTTGGGTATGGCCTATTATGCTAATGAGTTCCTGCTGGGCTTTTTCTACAAAAAGAGCCCTGCGTGAAGCGCATTGGTGAAACACGGGAAGAACAGTCCTGATGTGATTGATTCATATGGTTAGGTCTAGATTCCTTTTGTGTGGTGTTTGGTGTAGTGGTTAAGTGCGCGGACGCTAATCTGGAAGAACCGAGTTTGATTCCCCACTCGCACCTGGCTGGATGACCTTGGGCAAGTCATAGTTCTGATAAGAGCTGTTCTTGAAAAAGAGCAGTTCCTGTCAGAGCTCTCTCAGCCCCACCTACCTCACAGGGTGTCTGTTGTGGGGAGGGGAAGGGAAAGGAGTTTGTAAGCCGCTCTGAGACTCCCTTGGGTAGTGAAGGGCGGGGTATAAATCCAACCTCTTCTTCTTTTATCGATATGCAGGAGAGCATCAGTAAACATGCATGCCTGTAAACATATGCAGGTATCAAAATCCCTCAATGACAGTGTTTGATCAGTGTGTGCAGAGGGAAGATGGAGGGGGGAAGGCAAAGAAAGTGAGGAAAGTAAGCAAACGGTTCATGCTCCAGTTCCAGCATTGAGCATTCTTCTGCATAGTGTAATAAAACAAAAGAAGGCATGTGCACTTCGCAGAAACACTGCTGAAGCGATCACACATCCCACTGCATTCAAGATTACTTCATAATATTATCCCTTCAGATGTGTACACAGGAGAGGGGAAAGATGCAAACGAACAGAAGAACTGGGAATCTGTGCCTAATAGTGCGTGAACCAATTCTGGAATTAATTTCAGAAATTCTCTGCATAACTCTGAAATTATGAAGGAGTGGGATGGAGCACAGTGGGAAATTCCAAAACAATCCAGAAATGAAACAGGGAAAATCTGCTCATTTCTAAGTGAGCCTTGGTATACGTGGAACATGTGTGCCATCCCTGAGCAATGCACTCCTTAAACAGAATGTTCTGTTCCCACTGCTTTCTGCATAGAATGTGAGTTGCTTGAACTAATTTCTCCTGCTGGGACGGTCCTGGGCCCTCCTCGAAGCTGAGATCTGGATCCATCCTTACGGTACTCAGTTCCCTTCCTCTTCCTTTTTCCAGACCAACGGATTGGCACATGTTTCTCCGCACTGATTGGTGGACGTTGCGCAGGGGAGTTGCCAGGACAGTATACCAAGATGCAGTGCTGTTGTGACTCTGGGCGTTGCTGGGCTGTTGGACAGACGCCGGAAATGTGCCCTGTGAGAGGATCAGGTGAGTGGAATGGAGATTATGCTAGGTAAGTTTTGCTGCTTCCTCGCTCCTCTGCTCCGTGATTACACTGCAAACATGAACCACTTTTGTGCTGTATTAACCATCATGTTAATACAGCAGAGAACTCAGACCAAGCGTGATCCACCTGGAGAAGGAAATGGCAACCCACTCCAGTATTTTTGCCAAGAAAACCCCATGGACAGTATCAAAAGGCTAAAAGATATGACGCCGGAAGATGAGCCCCTCAGGTCGGAAGGTGTCCAATATGCTACTGAGGAAGAGCAGAGGACAAGTACAAGTAACCCCAGAAAGAGTGAAGCGGCTGGGCCAAAGCCGAAAGGACCCTCAGTTGTGGATGTGTCTGATGGTGAAAGGAAAGTCCAATGCTGCAAAGAACAATACTACATAGGAACCTGGAATGTAAGATCTATGAATCAAGGTAAGCTTGACATGGTCA